GACAGCTTGAGGCTCTGTCTCAAAAAAAAAAATTGGTGAACGTATCTCTACAGGACTCAAAATGCAACACAGGTAAGCCTTTATAAGAACTGGAAAAAAAGACAAAACAACGAATTAGATTCTAATTCGTGCAGGTTTGAGACGTTAAGATAGAAAAAATTTTCTATCTTTGCTGGGAGAGTTCTCTCCCTTTGAATTATGGTCTCACAACTATTCTTGCTTTTATTTAACTATGCTGAGTTTCAGTAACCTCATAGTTTAATCTGATCGGTTCCTTAACGTGAACAGTTTCTGGTAAGATAATTAGCAAGCTTTAACAAAATTGTATTCATTTAAGGGGTACAGTGCAATTTTGTACTGATGAATGAAGTCTGAGCTTTGAGTGCATCCGTTGCCCAAATAATATACATTGTTCCCATTAAGTAATTTCTCATCACCCAACCCCTCCCAGGCAACCTTTTCTTTTCTTGAGGCAGAGTCTTACTCTGTCGCCCTGGGTAGAGTGCCACAGTGTTGTCATAGCTCATAGCAACCTCAAACTCTTGGGCTCAACCGAGTAGCTGAGACTATGGCTAGTTTTTTTTCTATTTTTAGTAGAGATGGGGTCTCACTCTTGTTCAGGCTGCTCTCTAGCTCCTCAGCCCAAGCAATCCACCTGTTTTGACCTCCCAGAGTGATAGGATTACAGGCAGGAGTCACCATGCCCAGCCACACAACCATTTTTAACAACACTAAGAAACATTGGAATAAAAGTGATGTGAATTATTTTCCAGAAACTTCAACATTCATTCATTCATTCATTCAACAAGTATTTAAGGTTTACTAGGTGTTTTCACTCTAGATACCATAGGAAAAAAAATAAATCAGGGCTATGGTCTAATATATAGTTTATCTCAGGAAACAAACAAATCAATAAGTAATATACCTGTTAATAAGATTGGTGCTATGAGGAAAGTAAAACTGGAAAATATGAGACTGACTGAGACAAGCTCATTACATACTGTGGTCAGCTTAAGACCTCTTTGAAGGGGGTCTTAATACATCTCTCTTTCAAAGAGATAGGTCCAGACAGAACTCCCTGCTGGGCCTGCCTCCTGAAGCAAGAGACCAAATGGAAATTTGACTGATGTGATTACATCTATGAGCTCATAAATGACTCTGAAATGGAGTATATGAGAGCTAAGACACCAGGAGTCACTGTATTGTGTTGTAATCCATGACACCTGCACAAAGCAAATTATGGAATATTCTCATCAAAAGTTTCTGTCTCATTCCTTGAAGGCCACTAAGGGCAGCCTGGGTCACAGCAACAAATTTCTGGAGTGAAAAATTGGCACAAAGAATAGCAGCATAGCATCATATAGTCATATAGCTAAAGACAACCTTCTTGATGTACATATCGGGAAAAGAATTATCTTTAGGCCTGGTGCAGCGGCTCACACCTGTAATCCCAGCACTCTGGGAGGCCGAGGTGAGTGGACTACCCTGAGCTCACAGGTTCAAGACTGGCCTGAGCCAAAGCGAGACCTTCTTTCTAAAACAATAGCTGGGCTCGGCGCCTATAGCTCAACCGGCTAAGGCGCCAGCCACGTACACCTAAGGTGGCGGGTTCGAATCCCCAGCC